TCCTCCGTCAGACACCAGCTCAGGCCCACTCCTGGATAGCAGCCTCAAGCTCAGGCTCCAGCTCCAGTTCAAGACCAGGACAGGTGGAGCTCAGGGAGCTGCCATGGTCTTGCTCCCACTTAGCTTCTGTGGTGAGGGCAGGAGGTCATGGGTCCTGAAAGCCTAAGGTGGGAGGCCACAGGACCAGGTCTGAAGTCACCCAGACCCATAATTGCTTCAGTAAAGAAGCCAGTGGCCAGGAAGCAGGCGGCCTTAGTTAGCTCTGGCATCAGTGTAGGAGTAGAAACTACTGATTTCTGATCAAACAAATAGAAGGAGGTGTCACAAAGCAGAGACCCACTGCCAGGGCATTCCCGGGGCTGCACCTTCTGCTGGGGAGCGCCTATCTCTGTGGCCTTGCACTCTTGGCCCATGATGCTGCTCTGTGATGGGGGGCAGTGGTTTTCCAAGTGTGGCTGAGGCAGGGGTCCCTCGCGCAGGGAACTCCTGCAAAGGGGTGGGTGGCTCAGGTGCCCTCAGGAGGCCTTCCTGGCAGCCTGAGGAAGTGAAGAAGCTGTGACCTAAGCTGTGGCCTGAGCCGTGCCACAAGGAGGAAACCTGGGCAGGAGCTCCGGGTACCCTGGGGCACTGCCCCACTCTGAATGTGCCACTGGGGAAGTTATTGGGGAGGAAGACCCCCTCATCCCCTCTCCTCATAACATCCCCCAGGGTATCAGCAGGGCTCCCCTCATTTCAGGGTCCCATTTATTTGGGGTCCTCCTTGGGTGCATGTTTAGTCTTAGCTGGGAGGGGCTCAGGATTCCTGCAGAACACACATTTGACCATGTCACTTCAAATCCTACTGCCCAAGGAAACAGCCAAGATCCTGTATGTTAATATTCAAGGCCTGTCATGTTCTGGCTCCAGCCTCACTCCAGACTTCTCTCTCTTGCTTATGCCTGCCACCTGAACCAGAGGCAGAACCTCTCCTTCCTCCGGCCTCCGGAACAGGCTGCCTCCTTGCAATGTGGAACCTGCCACGCCTTGCTGTAATTCTGCCTTAGCCACGTTGAGGCCGAGAGTGTCTTTGCTCTACACTCTGGCATAAGCCTTGGATTCATAGGCTCTTAGTAAGCAAATCCAGAGGATAACCTCCCCATGTGCACCATCTGGATGGCCACACACACACACACACACACACACACACACACACACGGGGTGACTCATGAATGCTTCTGACAGCGACACTGATCACTGGGGTATCTGAGAGGCTCTTTCTCACTTGGCTCCAGGCTAGAGAGTACATTTATTTTCTAATCAAATATTATTCTGATGCTCAAGGCATCCTTGATGTTTGCAAGTCAGAAAAGTTTAATTACATGTGTCATTAGAATGGCATTTTGTAATAGCTCTGTGAGTGAATTCATTAACAGAATTCCTAACAGATAAGACAAGACAAATTAATATTTTGTTGCCCATGAAAGCATCTCATTAAGAGAGTGGTGAAAGAGTGATTAATATTTTGTTGCCAATCAAGATGTCTCACGCGAATGACAAAACGAAGAGGCGCACACCTCCCCGTGCTCGCTCAACGCCCGCCTTGGGTTTTGTAGGCTGACCAGCTTCCTGGTCTGCACAGTGCTTCATGCCAGGCACGAATGACTGAGCCGGATAGTATTCCATCTCTGACTGCACGGCGGGTGGGCGCTGGCACGCCACATACTGAGAGTCTCTAGGAGCCAATTAATCCCAGATCTTTGCCCCATCAGGGTTGCCCTCCTGGGCTGTTCTCCCCTGACCAATCTCACTTCAAAAATACCCCTTGATTTGTCAGTCTGTTCCCTACTTCCATGCCAAACCACAGAAAGAATGGGGGTGGGGGGTGGGAAGAAATAAACCAAAGAACTTGTATGCATACATGCGTAACCAATGGACATAGACAATGGTGCAGGGAAGGGGGTGTTGGTGGTGGTAGAGGGGGGCAGGAGCAGGAAGGAGGATGTCAATGGGATAAAGGGAGGAACATCTATAATAAAGAATTAATTAATTAATTAATGAGGTAATTAATTAATTAAAATATCCCTTGTATCCGGATGACTTGGTTGTCCCTCTACAGCTGATTTCTTCCCAGGGCTGCTGTTCTCGCTGTCCCTAGAGGGGGGCTGCCACTTATGAACACCTGCTGTGTGCTGGCCACTGGACTAGGCACATCACACACTTTCAGAAAATGCCCCTGCACGGACATCCTTATCCCCATTTCTCCACAGGCTCAGAGAAGTCACATAGTTCACTCTGGTCTGCTCTGGACCTGCGGGAGGTGGCTGGTCACTGGCTGTCTCCCTGCATGAGTCGAGGTTGACATGAACAGTGTTGCTCCATCCTGAGGACAGGCAGCAGGGGCACCCCAGGGTCATGTTGCCTGACTGGGGAGCCTCATGACTTCTACTGGCTGCTTGTCTTGCACTCAGGATACAAGGTGTTTTTTGGCAGCAGCAGTAGTAATAATGATGATGATGGTGATATTGAGAGTGGTACTAGTTAGCATGGAACACTTATGCTAAGAATGTCACATGTATCTTTTCATTTAACCTTTACTATAACCCTACGAGGCAGGAAATATTCTTCATCCCCATTTCACAGAGGAATGAACTGAGGCTTAGAGGAGTCAGGTGCCCTTTCCAAGGTCATTCAACTACTAAGTGGCAGAGCTGAGACTTAAACCCAGGTACCTTTGACCCTGCCCTCCCGGTCTGTGCCCTTCAGTAGCAAGCTGTGCTGCTTCCCACCTCCTCTTGAGGCAGGGGAGCCAGGTGTGCCTGCACGCACATATGTGTATGTGTAAACAGGTGTGTGTGCATGTGTGCGCCTGTGTTGTGTGTTTGTGTATGTGTGTGTGGTGTGTGGTTGCACGCTTGAGGTGAGGACCCCTGTGGGCTGGTGCTCCCCTGAACCCTCACTCGGGCTCTGAGAAGCACAGAGCCCGCCTATCTATGGGCTGCTGACTTGACCACAAGCAGCAAGTGCTTCCTGGGAGGTAACGAGAGGCCGAGAGGCCGGTAATCTCCAGTTGCACCCACAATTACCCAAATTGCTAACCTCACTGTGCAAAGTAAAACTGCAATTGACTTGGTGCTGGAGGCATGTCCAGGGATGGGAAAAACACTCAAAGTAATTTAATCAACTGATGGCAAATGCACTAAGAGGGTTCTGCCACTGCCTTTAATGCTGCCCTTAAACAGAACATCAAGCCATGCCCACAGATGTTCAGACAAACACAGTAGGACCTGTCCTGGTTTTGAATCAATCGCCACTGGCCAAACACGTCAAAAACTCACACCCCACCTTGAGAGCTTTTACACACACAAAGGTGCACTCTGACACACACACACACACACACACGCCTTTATAAACAGGACACTGATTTGCCTTGCTAAGTTCCCAGACACACTCTGGACATCCTAGGCTCAGAAGACTGCCCGTCAGCATCTGTCCATTAAGCACCCACCAGGCTTGTGCTGGCGCTGACCTTCAGAGAGGGGTAGGATACAGCTTATGGCGAAATCACGAGGAAACAGTTGTGCCCCGTGTGACAAGGGTGGGGAAGGGCAATCCTGCCAGTGCTGCCCAGAGTGGGGGTCCAGGGTGGTCCCTCTTTCTGTCTGCTTCCCACACAACTTCCAGAGTGCAGCCAAAGTGGTCTAGAGAGGATCAGAATCCCAACTTTGGGCGTTCCTGCGGAAGTTCATGCTGGGCCTCTCCCCATAAAGCAGCCTCAGAGTTGGAAGGGATCTTCAAGGCCATGTTTAGCTGCCCCCTGTGGCTAGCAGCATGGCTCACCACGCTCCTGCTCGAGCTTACACGTCTCTAGGGACGGGGAGCTCACCTCATTGTGGGGCAGGGCTGTGGTTGGAATGGTGTTCCATCTAGGAAGCAAAAATTGGTCTCTTTTTGGGGGTGCACCCTGACCCTTTGTGCTAGTCCACCTCATGGGGTCACATAGCCCAGGCTGGCTCCTCTGCCCAGCACCCCCCCCAGCACCTTGGCACTGTTAGCGGGAACTGACCACTCACCCCACAGGTCTTCCTTCTCTGAGCCAAACATCCCATCCTGAGCCAGCTGACCTGTCCTGAGCCAAAACTAGGCCTTCCCCCTCTTCTGCCCCAAAATTGTACTTATGTTACTGTAGCTGTTGACCTGGCAGCACCCTACATGGGTGACATCATTCTGTCTTCTCACATGAACTTCTGGGAAACCACTTCAGCCCTTGAGCCAAACCAGGGCCAGTAAATACTCTTGAATTAATCCCTGTATGTCTCCAATGGAAGGGAGTCCAGCAGAAGGCAGGTACTGCGAATGTTGCTTTTCTAACAGATTAATCAGCTTATCACACTGGGCTGTGTGAGCTCAGGGGCTCTCCCACGCAGCTCATCACATCTCACCCACAAGCAAGGCCCCCAGGCAGGCTCCCCTGGCATGACCTCATTTCCTTTCCCCTCGTCACCTGGCTTCTGCCCTCCACAGGGACCCTCCCCCCCCCCCCCCGGCCTTTTCCAGCTGTCTACATCCTGCCCAGCTGTAGTCCCAGAGTCTTTCCCCCACCGCCCTGGGGACCTCACCCAGATGTTCTCGCCCGGGAGCCCTCCTGCCTGGCCATATTCTCTGTTAGACGGTGATCCCTCCCCCTGAGTGGTGGGCTCAGTACACAGCCCCCTCCTCTCACATCCCATCCTCACACCCACCTCCGGGCTTTAGCTGCTTCGGCCTGTACAAGGCCCTCCTGCCCTGCCCTGCCCCTCAGCCCCCGCTCACCTCCCGGGCCTGGCTGCAGCTCACAGCACCATGCGCCTTGCCTCTGCCTGTGGCCGGACTTGGGTTTCTGGTACTTCCAGGCGTCAGACAACAGGTTGGAAGGCACCAAGGGTGGGATGTCGGAGAGAACAGGCGGGCCCTGCCTCTACCACAGGCTTGCACAGGTCACTTCCCCGGGGGACGCTGAGCTCAGTCAGAGCCAGGTGACTTACGTTGATGTCTTCCAAATCCAGGAAGTTCAGGGCGAGCCCGTTGCGCTTCCAGATGATGGGCGGTCGCAGGTCTCCGCGGACGGCACACGTCAGCACTGTGCTCAGCCCCACGGTCACCGTGGCCACACTGACCTCCTCCTTGGGGGCGAGGCTGAGCTGCACCACCTCTGCAGGGAGAAGAAGGCCATCAGGTGCGGCCCAGGAGGCGTCTCCTCTCAAAGGGAAATGGCCACGGGGGTTTCCTACAGGGCAGGGCCCCGCTTGCTCCAAGGAAGCGGAACACTGTCCACCATGTGCTGACAAAATGTACAGATGGACCCCTCCTGGGAGAGGGGCCACAACTTACGTGGAATGATCAAGGGCTCTGCGGGTCAAAACGGGTCAAGAACCACAGCTGGTGCAGAGAAGCCATCTGGGCTGTGGATTTGTGAGTCGAGCCAAGAATGTGGACTTCTGGCCCCACGGGACACCACACAGAGACCAGGGACCAGATGCTCAGCGCCTGCCCTGGCCTGGGGCCTCGTGGATCTGGGGCCTCGCGGATCTGGGGCCTCGCGGATCTGGGGCCTCGCGGATCCGGGCCGGGTGAAGTGCAGTCCGCTGTCTGGGCCGGCCGGGCCCTCCTCCACGTGGGGACAGTTTAAAGGTTGCACTGTCTGAAGTCTGGGGAATGGACTGGCTGACCTTTGAAGGTTTGTTTCTGTCTGAGGATTCTCTGAACTGGGATTTGGATTTCTCCTCAGCAACCATGCGTGGCAGCCTTTAATTTTTTGAGTGTAGTTAGGCTGCACAAGTTATTAATCCTTGCCATTTCACACTTGACAACTGGCGTTAAGACTGATCACTCGTCAGGCAAATGGGAAGGGTCTAAAATACTTTCCTTCAAACACAGGCTTTCTGAAATTCTCGAGATTTATAAAAACATTAACCAGACTCGGATGTTCAAATGCCAAAATGCAATCAAGCCTGCAGGGAGAGTCACCAGCCCACTGGCCGGCTGCCTCCCCCAAACCTACAACGCAGGGGACTTGGGGCAGCAGCCAGGGGCAGCGTGAGCCGAGGGAGGCAGCCGGCTCCAGGGGCCGGGGTGTGACTTCTGGGATGCAGCAGCTGTGCTTACACCCTCCTGCCAGTGTGTGGGAGAAGGGAGGGGGGAGAGGAGGGAGCAGAAACAGCCGCAGGTGGGGTGCAGGGCAAATCGGGGCGAAGTGGAAGCGCTCAGCCAGGTAGGATGCTGAGGAGCAGAGCCCTCCCCCTCCCAGTCATTCAGTGGCCCTGCCCTGGGCCTGTGGTGAGGAACAAGGCTCGTGCTAGGTGCTTGTTGGATGGATGAATACAAAATGGAGAACATGGAAATGAAGAAGGAAAGAGGCCAACAGGCCAGCGGAGGGGACAATCACACAGGACAAATGTGCCTCCCGGTAACCGAGCCGAAGAGGAAAGATAAGCACCAGGTGATGGATGCAGATGCCACCGGCAGCGTATTTTACAAACGAAGTGATGCGTTTCACGTTCCTATTCAATCCGTCCCACTGCTGCCCTCCCACCCTGAGCCACGAGGCGTTCTGCTCAGGGTGGAGCAGGTCTAGCCCATGGTAGCAAGACCCTGCCTTTGGAGAGTCAGGGGCAGAGAGAGGGAGGGAGAAGAAGAATTTGCTAAAACTGTTTACCTCCTACCGTGCTGTGCTGGCCCTTGGGACTCAGAGCTCATGTACGGACGAGGTACTCTTCCTCACGGGGTGAACCATGAGGCTCCGTGCTCTGTGGAAGAAGGACGCGGTGTGGACGTCCCCTCCTCTGCCTAGTGCATTGTGGGAATCACAAGGGAGCCGGTGGGAAGGGCAAAGGGTGTAACTGCTACTGTGTAGGTGAAGGGAACCGGGTGGGGGCCCTAGAAGAGCCCGAACTGTCCCCAACCGGCTTGCTCCCCTTTCCACCTGGGGCAACTACACAAGTGTGTCACAGAGCCAGGGCCTGGGGTCATCTGCCAGAGCCCCGCCAGCTCATGCCTGTGCACTGGCCAGACTGTGTGTGCTCTGTGCCTCTGTACCTGAGGGCTGCGACCACAGCCAGATCTGGGCCCAAGGCAGTGACCCCCGACCTCGAGGGGAACATAATGCCAGTGGGGGCTGTGGGCGGCTGACCCAGGCAGAACCTCAGACTCCAGACTCCACCCGGCTGAGAGAGCCCAGACCAAGAGCCCAGCCAGGGCTGACCTGGGACAGGGCAACGGGGAGGGGCTGCAGGGCAGGTCCAGGCGGCGGGACCCGGAGGTGGTGGAGGATGGCAGGGTGTTTACCTCCACCCAGAGAGGAGCAGCTGGGCTGCAGGGTGGGAATGGGAAAGGGGGCATTTCCTTAGGCAGACCATTACTCATGTGGACTGCGAAACGATCACCTTGGACTACGCTTTATAATGGATTGAATATTCAGGTCCATTTTTCTTCCAGTGGCTGGTGAGTGGGGCTTGTGGAGAAGTCAGGTATGTTACCATGTATATGGTCAATTAATCTATGACAAGGGAGACAAGAATACACAATGAGGTAAAGACAGTCTCTTCAATAAATGGTGTTGGGAAAACTGGACAGATAATGTAAACTAGACCACTTTCTCACACCACATTTAAGAATAAACTCAAAATGGATTTAAGACTTATGTAAGACCCAAAACCATAAAAGTCTTAGAAGAAAATATAGTAGTATATGACACTGCTCTCAGTAATATTTTTTTGGATATCTCTCCTTGGGCAAGGCAAACAAAATTAAAAATAAATAAACATGACTATATCACACTAAACAGCTTTTGCACAGTGAAAGAACCATAAAAAAATGAAAAGAAAACCTACTGAATGGGAGAAAATATTCACCAATGATACATCCACTAAAGGGTTACTTTCCAAAATATATGAGGAGTTCATACAACTTAACACCAAAAAAACAAGCAATGTGATTAAAATATGGGCAGAGGACCTGAAAAGACACTTCTCCAAAGAGGACATACAGATGGCCAACGGCCATGTGAAAAGATGCTCAATGTCACTAATCATCAGGGAAATGCAAATTCAAACCACAGTGAGCTACCACCTCACACCTGTCAGAATGGCTAACGTCAGTAAACCAACAACGAGTGCTGGCGAGTGTGTGGAGAGAAGAGAACCTGGTGCGCTGCTGGTGGGAGTGCAGACTGGTGCAGCCACCTGGAAAACAGGACAGAGATTCCTCAAAAACTCAAAAATAGAGCTACCCTGTATCTCAGCAATTCCTCTTCCGGGTATTTATCCAAAGAAATTTGAAACCCTAATTCGAAAAGACATATGCACCCTTTTACTCATACACTGAAGCACCCCAGAACTTCTGTGGTACCCTGAGGCCTGAGAACCCCTGTATTACAAGATGGGGGTGTCTGCACAGATAGAAAGGGGAGAGGAGGTAGGGTTGGGGAGGGAGGTTCGTCTGGCTGGCTGGCGTGTGGGGGCCCCGTTACCCGGCTAGGAGCATGGGCTCTCATTTGGAATGTAAGAGCTGGTGCAACGCAGCAGCCCCTCCCTCCATGTGACCCCAAAGCCACATATTTCAAAAAGTTATAGAAAAATGTCTAAAGGAGCCTGTAGCACAGGGCTGAAAACAACCAACCACTCGCCCTGCATGGGAAGTGCATGTGTCTCATCGCCCGCGTGGGACAGCGGCTCCGCAGCTTTGCCCGCTCACCGCCCGTCGGCGTCTGGGGACATTCACTTTACACAGGAAGACGCCCACGGACTCAGAACACGTGCAAACTGAGAACCGTCATACTCCCGCTCCCGTCAGCTACACAAATATTAACCAAACTGCAAATATTTGGGTCATTTAAAGTTTAATTAAATGATTGTTTTATTGGATTTAACTCATGTCAATATTCTCCAGCTCCATGTAAAGTTCTGAAGAGATTTATGGCCACCGAACCTGTCCTCGTTCCCGGTTATTTACCGTTCGACAGGCCTTCCTCTGGCCAGCCCCTCTGCCAGGCTACGTGACCCCCATGCAGAAAGCAGCTGTGGGAAGAGGCTGGTGTTCTTGGAAAGGGAAGGTCAGAGCAGATCACTGAGGAGCTTGACTGTCCTGCTGGGCAGAGGGGCCCTCCAGAGGGACAATGGCCCTGTGGTAAGAATTGGAAGGCTGCCTGGCGAATAGGGATTTGGGGCAAGGGAGTTGGGGGGTTGCTCACAACTTGGGACACCTGTCTCTCTGTGTGTCAGGCCTTCTGCTATCAGTGGGCTGCCCCTTGTTTCCCCCAGGATGAAGAGGGACAGGTCGCATGGCCACTATTGTCAAAGTCAGCGCAGGCTGGTTAGCACAGGACAGAGCTTCACGGCGCACTGACTGGCCTGCGTGCCCGGCAGTGGGGCCCAGGCAGGGCTGTTCAGGGCTCCGATGCTTAGCATGGCGCTTGGTACACAGTAGGTGGCTTGAGGCCAAGTTGGGCCGACAGCAGTCTCCTGGGAGACACCTGACTCACTCTGTCCTTCAAACCGGCGCAGCAACACCCTTGGTTTTGCAGACACAGGGTGTTGCAGACACCAGCTCTCAGCCTCCTACCTGCACACGTGTTCCCCTGCTCCTTGGAGCTTGGCGAGAAGGGGCGGTGCTGGGGTGAACAGGCCCATTGTAAGCAGGGTAACGAGTGCCCTTCCTGAAAACAGGAGGCCGTGCGACTTTGGTCGCTGGACAGCTGGGAGTTAGTTCCCATTACAGCTTCCCCTAATCTTCGGCGCTGTTCCTCACACTGAACTGAACTTGATGAATCTCTCACACCCACCAGCACCCTCTCAAACAGGATTCTAGTGCTTCCCAGAAGTAGAAATTTACTTGCTCACATTCTTGTCAAGTAGGCGTTAGTGTTCATGTGAGGGATGCACTAGGGCGACACATTCCTGTTTGGACAGGTGCTAGTTCTCAAATGATGGTCCTGGAGAAAAGACCCTGTCAAAAGCTGCCTGCACAGCGATAGTTTAGACTGAGCCCTGCAGGGCCACACTCGGGGCCGCTTGGGAATTGGGGCCCTCAGGTGACCTGGGAGTCACCACAGGAGGTGTGGCACCTGTGGGACATGCTCTGTTGATCTGGTCTTGTTCCTGTGACCAAACCACCCTGTGAGTTTGGTGAGTGGGACAGAAACAACGTCCCCTGACC